ACTACTATAAGAACCATCACTACTATTGAGATGGCCTTTGCTGCAGCTGCCGATGCTGCTGCTACTACTACGACGACGACTACTGCTACGACTGCTGCTACCACCACCACTTTTGACAGTTTGTTTGCCTCTCACCTTTTTCGCTACAATGGGTTCAGGTTTGCTGTGCCGCTTCCAGGCTGCGAAATGCTCCCGAAACATTGCAACCCCCAATAAGGATGCCCCTCATTGCAGCTAAAGCTTGCAAATCAGGGCCATGGACGGGCTCAAGGCGATTCACGCTAGGCAGGTGTTGCGAAGCAACGCCTAGTTGTGGCGAATAAGGAAGTAGCAGATGTCAAATAACGGCCGCGTCAGCACCGGATGAATGGAAATAAGGCACTCCTCGTTTTTCAATGTCCGTGGGCTTCATTATCCCAGTTTGAAGTTTCGATGCTCCCAAACTCTGCTTCATCCTCGAAGCTCATACCTAGTGAGGGACCTAGTGACTTTCAGCGGCAGCAGAGGCAGCTTGCCCACTGGTAGCTGCCTCTACCCAGATTTGCGGAAGCGCAGAAACCCTGACCTGAAGTTTTCAAATGCAGATGCAAGATGCACTTTCTGAGCAGCTTTGGGCTGTAACTAGAGCGAAGGTTTACACTGCACTTTTGCCCTACATCACCTTATGGAGTTGGATAGTTTGAGGTGGCTGAGCTTGGCAGAGGCAGAGGGGGACCTCAGGTGTCGCAAGGGCCACGCACCCCTGGCCTCGGCCGTCACTTCCTCCACCGTGATGGCGCTATCGTCGGAAAACACCTTCACGTGAAGCAAGGCTGATTTGAAAAGCAATTCCAGCAAGTTTCAGGGAGGCTGGGGATCCGAGCCGAACCGATACGAAGAAGGTTCTACCCGTCCGCAGCATGAGCATGATTACAACACCCCCTGCCCGCTTTCGCCAATTATCATTGTGAGTCTTCTGCAAGCAGGCTTACAATGCGACAACGCGAAGCTGCACCCTTCACCCCACTTCGATCCAGATCCCCGAACAGCCGAAGTGCGATCGGCTCTCTCCCGAACGCCCTGCCCATGATGGATACCGCTGAACCCTCCGCAGTCGCGAAGGGCTGCCGAGGCCTGGCCATCGAAACACCGCCACGGGGAGCGCAGGGTGTGCGGCAGATCTGCGTTTGCAGCGCGTTGTGCAATCCCGCCTGGCAGGTGTTGGTGGTAAGAACTTGAACTTGTACGATCCGTGGAGGCCGCCCACTGCCATGTCAACCGCTGCGGCTTGACCACAAAAAAAAACTCCGAGGGGCCCCTCGCACAGTTGAAGTTCTTGTCGAATTCGTCCTTATCGCCGATGGTCCACCTTCCAGCCTGGCCCGAGGCCCCGCCCCCCCCCTTCCGGCAGGGTCCGGGGAAGCTTCGGGGGCCTCTTGCAAAGGCCTCGGGGCACGACCCCCTGTGGAACAAAAAGACCTCCGACATGCGCCGAGGAGCTGTGCCGAAGTACAGCCAAAGTTCATCGCCACGCTTCCTCGGCTGCGGCTTCTGCACATCTGCAGCGGCCCAGACATATCTGCGCTGCAGCCCTGAAGAGTTCGCTGACGCCCGGCGTCTTCCACAGCGGCTCCCCATTCGCCCTCGTCTGTTGCAGCTCCTCGGCGCGCGGTAGACTACCTCCCCACACACGCCCAATCCGGCAACGTGCGCACTTCAGAATCTTTCTCTCATCAAACCCTTGTCTTACTGCACAAGGAAAACTCCGTGGCTTTTTCCAAGTCCATCGCCCCTCCATCACTGGGGCCAGGCACGTAATGCCCCGTGCAGCGACCCTGCTTCTCTCCGCCCCTGCCGGCGCTTGCTGCGGCTCTTGCTTCGGCTTCCCCGCCCCAGATGCGCCAAACAGAAGGCTTCAGATCAGCTCTCATCGCCCTGGCCCCGGCCTGATGCGAAGGAGCCTGGGCGGTGCAGCCTGCGAGCAGAGTGCGTGCTTCCGAACGCGTCCCAGTCTGCATCACAAGACCCACCAGCACTCAAAGGAGCTTCAACCCTCAAAAAAAAACAGCTGCTCAGAGGTGGAATCTCATTAAACGTCTGAGGCTTCCAGGCTTTGGGTAAGCGAAGCAAGGGCTGGTTCCTCCTTATGTAAGGCCCGCCGGGAAGTCCTCCTAAGCTTCGAAAAGCGACGGGTTGACTGCTCAAGGCTTGCTGCGGGTTGAAGGGAAAGCTGCAAACCCAGAACCAAAGGAAGGCGAGCCCCGAGGACAGCGTGAAGCTTTGGGGTCTAGCAGTATCCGGCGCGACTTCCAGGTCTCACGGCTTCATGGCCAAAGGGTGCAATTGCTCATGCCTTTGGCCAATCAGCATTGCGATGGTGGCGAAGAAGATGATGCTAGTGTGGAGAATCCGTGATGCTGCTGATTTTGGCCCTGACATGCTCTGACAAGGAACATCACTGCGAGCATTGTAATATTTGTACGACTACAAGCACCATCATTACTCTTGAAATAACCTTTGCGGCTGCTGCTGCTGCTGATGCAGCTGTTGCTACTGCTACTACCACTACGACTGCTACTACTACTACTAC